GAGATCAGAAAGTGCCGAGAAGATGTATCGCCCCATACTAGTGAATTTTTTTATCTACTGTATAATTACCCTGGCCAGTACTCACGTCTATATACATCTCTGCTCTCGCACTCCAAAATGTACACAATTTTGTCCTCTTCTGAGTACCAGATTGGATACTGCGAAAATTGTGGAATTTGTGCAATCGAATACAATCGAGTTTCACCTGTTCAACGTGCATTGACGGAATACCCCATGTAAATTATAGGACGTATATATTCCCGCGACCAAAAAGACAATTGTATTTCGCGAAGTGAATTGTGAAACATGTTTTTCATATCACGAGTGATTTAACTCCTATGCATTGATCGCAATAAAGCCGTCAGTGAAATCTAAATTTGAGGAATACTTTCTTAGTGAGAAAATTGCCCTTTTATAACGCGGTTACTAACAGCTGTGGTATTAAACTCCTCATAGACCGAATGTCGAAAACTGAATGACACTTTAGCACGCATGAACATAATAGACCCTTCCCCACCTCTTTGGCGTCCCTCTGCTGATCCTGAACAGTAGCAGGCACATACCATTTCATCAACCTGAAAAAAGGAGAGTGTGTTATTCGTGACTATCACGCAATGTTGAATATATCATATTCAACATTGCGTTATAGTCAATATATTCAATATAATAAACATATGTATTTAAACGAGATTCGATATTGAGGATGGAATGCAAACACTACATGCTACCACACAACAGTGCACGGGATTTCTGCGATGCATTGTGGGAATTTGCGTTTTGACGGTTTTTCCATCACATTTTTCACAAGCCATCCCCCCTGCCGCATTACCTCACTTTTCCTTGTCGACTCACCAATAGGATAAAATGTATCATATACCAATAGACAACGACAACGCCTATGTGTAATTAGATCGGTACAATGTAAATCGCGCGCGCCCGAAAATCAAAGTGACGTTCCCCATGTTCATTGAATCGATTGTGGATTCTAGCATCGTATTATACGTGTAATAAGCAATTCTGGAAACGATTCTGAATTTCGAAATTGGTTTATTGAACGACCCCGTTGACTCTGGGAAGTGCGAAATCGCTGAATACACATTCGAGAGCCTTTCTGAGCGTTTTATGTTAAACACGTTTTGTCCCATTTCGTTTCCGGGAGTTGTCTTGACAGTGTGGGAATATATGCAAATGGTCAACTACATCTGTATGTAAGTTTTGAGGAAATTATCGTATCGATTTTTGTATACTTATACTCAAAATCGTCGGAATTTTTTATAGTATAGTGAGGGAACTTACGAGCTCAGTTGAGGAAATCAAACATATATTCCCACACTGTGTCTCGAGTAAGAGACAGTGAATGGACCGATCTGAATCGATACCATATTTCGATCGAATCCTACTTAATGCATCGTACTTCTATACTTTGCATTTGACCTTATCATAGTTTGTCGATGGTTTTGCTTGTATGAATGTTTTAAGCTGTTGATAATCATCTCCCCTGCGGTTTGTGAAATCTATCATTTCAATGGCATATACAGTTTTTTTGCTATTTTGAAAAGTGCATATCAGTGTTGGAGGAATTTATGTTGGGTTTCCCCAGCTGAGCTCAGAAGTTTCCTCACTAATTATAGGAGTTTACATACGAATTCTGGTAGAAATGCTCAGAAACCAACTAGGATTTCCCACAATTTTCATATTGTCACCAACACATGTAGTTGACCATATTCATATTTTCTCACACAGGTCTACCAGTTTCTTGTTAGCAGTTTTTTCGTTTCACGATGATATCCCAATCGCTTTTATTTTTCCTACTATTGGTATGTTCACAAGCAGCTATGAATCTGCCGGCTGATGCGGCTGATATATTGATCACGAAAATGCGGACCAGAATTTTCGTGGAGACGAAAAATTTGGTGAAAAAAGGTAATAAAATTTGGTAAAATTTTACCTCGCCGAAAATTAATATTTTTTCCATCACTTCATTGAAATTAATGGAGTTAATCCCACGCTGGGTGGTCTTGGGCTTTTTATTACTCAATTCAAGGACGTTTTCGGATTACTCTGTGAGATTTGAAACTGTTCAACACAACATAAAATGTGTAGAGGATCTGTACCAGAACTTGGGCCTTGTTGCGAGAGTAGCGAAACCAAACATATGCAGTTTTGTGTATAGGAAATGCATTTCAGTGAGAGCTGAATTTCACTTCCTCGTAAGAGCAGTTTTACTATCAGTTTCTGATATTGATTCAAGGATCGTCATAGATGTCCCTCACAGGCGCCCAAAATTTCACATATGTCTTTTGCGCCGCCCTGGAGGAAAAAAACAACGATTTGTCAATTCACCGATATGTGGGTGTCTCTCAGCATTTAAAGAAAATATTGGAGTTTCACCCTAGTGATATGAAAAACATATTTCGCGGAAAACAATTGTGTTATCGGTCGCGGAAACATGAACGTCTTATAATTTACATCCAATATTACACCACTTCACGTTAAACGGGTGAAACTCCAATGAACTAAATTAGAATCAAAATAGTAATTTTTCAGTAGAGTTTCGCCCATGATATGAAAAACAACAGTGACACAACATATTATATAAACCACTTCATATCGCGAATATTAGTTCTTTGCAGAGTATCACACCATTTTTCTTTTAATAGGTGAAAACTCCATGTCGTGATATGCGCAATTTTTTATGCATAGAATAGATTTTTTTTGAAAAACACTAACGGAAACAATATCTCACAATTCACTTCGCATCGCGTTTTTCAGCAATTTACGTTGAATTTGTGTTTTTTTTTCATCAGATCTTGGAGAGGTATGTAGTAGTTTGTCGGGTCCTTCTTGCCACTTCGAACGGGTGGGTGGAAACACTAGGAAAACTAGCAGGGAAACGACGCTAGTTGGTGGAGTTATTCCGGATCATTATATCAGCGACTCGCCAGGTGAGATATCATATGATGGTGGAAATTTAATTGTAGTCGTGAAAGTTGCATAAACTCATCTGGTCATCAAACTGAGCTCTTTCAGTACTGTCTATGTGATCAAAAATTTCCTTGATAAATCACTGCGCAGCAGGCGAAGAAAGCGGAGTTGATATTTTAGTTCGCTTTCATTCGGCCGTCTGTGCGTGAGCAAAAATTATAATACTAGCAGACCCGAACGAGAGAAGCCTCGTTCTGTTGGTAGTGAAATTCTAATAACAAGAGAAAGCTCGGAGAGTTGGTTATCTCATTAGCTCAGTAGTTTAAGATGCTGAGTTGTCATCCAGAGCACCCAGGATCGAATCCTGCACTAGATATTGCCGAGCTTCGTCCCTTCGCAACGAGGAAGTAGTTTATAATACAATTAGTATGTATAATGTAGTTTCACCAGTTTTACGTGAAGTGGTGTAAAACTCGGTGAAAACGCGAAATATGTCGAAGTAGTCATGAAATGTGTTTTTCACTAGTGTTTTTCATATCACTAGGGCCGCCCATGAAACTCCATTGATATTCATGTATTAATAATTGACTTATGTAATACGAAGAATTTCATCCGCGTTTCACACATGACATTATTACACAGATGGTGTGAATGAAATAATAATCTGATCCATATTCGTTTTTTGTGAAAAAAAATTTTATGGAAAAATTTTTTTTATTTAGGGTTCGATGCGTTAGCTGCGGCAATGCCGTATGATGTGTGGGAATTCGATCCGACGAGTCTTCCTGATTTGTTGCTACCTCCTCCCGTTGAGAAGTACGAGGGCAAAATGCTAGATTTGAAGCAACAAGCTGTCGGGCGACGGGTAGGGAACCTCATTTGTGGGCGTCGCTGAGGGCAGGAAATGAATCTTTAGTAGGTGCCGTCGGGATTTTCACAAGGACTTCCGGATGGTGTGGTAGCGTCGTGGCAGGGGAGATGGCTCGTGGATGATTCTTATCGAGCGGAGAAGGGTAGTAATGGGGAATGTTGCGGTTGAGGCTTGGGAAAATATATGGGAAAAAGCAGAAAAATAATATTTTTTTTCAGGAAATTTCAGTTTTGAATTGATAGTGTAGTGATGAGAAATGTTGCGGTTAATACTTGAGAAAATATAACAAAATATTTCGAAAATTCTAGAAAAATTCCGACGATTATTTCTAAGAAATTTCAGCTGAGGAAAGCGAACATATATTCCTCCTCCAACACTACTCGTATTTTAGTTTTCTCAGGAACGTCATTGCCCACATATATTCGATTTTCGAAACCAGTGTTAGCTCGAAAAATATGGATAGAATTGGATTCGCCGATTCCAGAGGAGACAGTTAATGTTAAAGGGGAGAAAGAAAAGGAAAAAGTGGGAAAAAAGAGGAGAAAACAACAGGCTGCGATTGTGAGTGAAAAGCGCGCGCGCCCTGGTGATCGATTTGTGTGTAGGTGATTCTGCGGAGAGGAACGGAGACTGTTTGGTCCAGTAGAATGCTCATTGGATCGACGACTGTTGATGTACGTTGGGGGGCCTGTTTTGTATCTTTGTGTGAGCAACCTAAGATTTTCTTTGAAATAATAGTGTTGGAAATTCCAACACATTTTCCTTTTAAGAAAGTCAACTGATTAGGAATATATGTTAATTTTCCTCAGCTGAGTTCAGTAATTTTGTTGTGGTAGAAATGTAGAGAAATTAGTGAGAATTTTCATTTTCAATTTTCTCTTAGAATTTTCGTATTGTCATTAACACATGTAGTTGACCATGTGCACATTTACTGGTGTTTAATTTTGTATTTTGTGGTGTCACCTGTTTGAGAAGCATCGATACGCGGTAAATTGGAACAAATGAAATCCACGACTTGGGTAAATTTTGAAAAACTCCCTTTGAATTACTTTATGGAGTTTCACAACCCGTTTTACGTGAAGTGGTGAAAAACGCGATATTATTCGCGGTGATATGCAGTAGTCGTGAAATATATTTTTCACTAGTGCTTTTCATATCACTAGGACCGCCCGTGAAACTCCAATGTAATATCAATTTTTTTTCTGAGGAAAATTCGTAAAATTTATTATTTTTCGTTAACTAAGTAATGTTTCTAACTGCAACTTCAACACGGCATAGATATAGTAATCATCTATCACATACTATAGTGGAATGGTAATATTCATTATTGTTACTCATATATATCTGGGCGAGCGAGATATGCACCCAACGAAATTTTTTCCGTTTTTTTTTCTCAGGTTTTGTCGCATGGTTTATTCGGTCATGCTCCGTTGAGTCCAGTTGACGAAATTGTGGTATTGTCGCGAGGCGCTGGGGTGAGAGTAGTTGCTATTGAACTGGATGAGCCTGGTAAGCAATTTGTGATGGAGTATATTGGGATCTCGCCCTGTTGATTGAATTTTATAAAGCTAGAGCTGATCTTTTGTGAGCTGGGAGTCTAACTAGGCTGTGTTGTCGTGGGCGTTGGAATTCAAACTCACACATACAGCACGCATGCGCAAGGGAAATTCGCTGTTGTTGTGGTATATGGCCGTAGTTTTAATGGATAATAATTAGTGTTGGAATATATGTTCGTTTTCCTCAGCTGAGCTCGGGAGTTTCCTCACTAGTTGTTTATGAATTCGAGTAGAAGTGTTGAAAAGCCAACAAGAAAACCCACAAAATTTCCTCTCAGAATTTTCATATCGTCACCAACACATGTAGTTGACCATGTGCATATTTTCCCTCAACACTGATGGCAATATGGATAATATAATACTAAAAATAATACTAAATCGTGTTTTTTCTGAAAAATTACGAGATGTAAATATACAGTGTGAACCAAATCGTCATCCGAAAAATTTTTTTTCACGGCTTTAATTTTTGTAAGTCAACTTTGAGTAGTATTATAAAGAATCGATTGACACCAACATTTTAGAAGCGTTGTATAGTCGTACTAGTCTGAAATTTGAGAAACATAGATATGCGTATGTGTTTGATTCGGAGTGTGTATATGTATATA